CTGGGATGGCTCAGGGAGGACTAGGCTCAGATCTCTTGTTCATAGGATCGTGTTCAACTCAGCAACGCATAAGTTGGTCTACCAGCATTTGGAGGTGAAGAAAAGAGTTGATAAATTTTGTCCTCCAGTCTTAGAATCTCAACAAATCGTGTTTTTTAAAATGTGAATTAGCTTGATAAATGTCAGTAAAGGTGTAACTGTGCTAGTTTATTTTAAATCGGTTTAGTAATGATTATATCAGGGTTTTGCTAGAATGGTGAATCATTGGTTCATAGAGAATTTTCTTCCAACATAAGAGTGTTTGGCAGTGATCCACAAGGGCTTTATTTTTAAGAGAAGGCACTAACATATATGAAGAGACGATTAGAAAATAGTTATTAGAAATGCCTTGTTTTTGAGCATATAGAGTAGTTGTTGGTACTACACGTTGTGGAGTATAAGAACCCTGTGCTTTTCTAGTGTGTAAATATACCTGGTGGAAATGCAGAAGGTACAAAGGCATGTACCTCTGCATTAAGGTGACAAGTAAATGAAAGACTAATTTCTTAAAATGATCTTAAAGTCAGATCTCTTCAAGGCACTGAAATGTCAAAAGAAGAATGAAATACCTCATGCTTTAAAGCCATAAAATATTGGTTGACTAGTAGATACAAATGTCAATAGAGATTTATTTAACTGTGTTAGTTTAAGTCTGTTTAATAATGATTGTATCAGTAATCCACTTATAAAGTAATATAAGCTTTAAGTAGCTACTTTTTAACCTTGTTTTATTGTTAACATCACAATTCTTTTAATTTTTTTAACTTTTTTGTAAAATATACACAAAAAACATGCTCAACCAACAATTTTTTGCATAGTTAATGAACAGTGAGTGCGTAGTTCACATCATGTCTCCACATCACTCTCTGTCCAAATTATTTCACACTCTTAACTTACATTTGCTGTTATGTAAAGTTCTTATCTGTGTTGTAGTCATTCTTGTACATTTAATAGATGTTTCTTTGAAAGAGCACTTTGCTTAAGGTGAACAGTTTTTGAGCCAAATTTCGTTTTAATAGGACTTCATAGCAGTATTGGCTAAAGGTGAATGCTTTCTCCAAGCAGTGATTAGGGATTCGTCCAGTCACAATCATTCAGTCTAGAAATGCATCGAAAGAAGATAAAAAAATACACAGAATCACGGTACCAAAAAGAACTAATGACACTGAGGAATTTCAGGAAGCACATATGAACAAGGAGTCAGTGGTAATAAGAGGATGAAGAAGCTTGAAGGCATTAGCAAAAAATAAAGGTCCTAGGAATTGATTTACCAATAGACTTTTCCAACACATAGTCTTGGATGTGCTCACCAGTCTGTGCTGGGAAATTTGGAAGACAGCTGTCTGACCAACAGATTAGAAGAGGTCCATATATGTTCCTATTCCCAAGAAAGGTAATCTAACTGAATGTGGAAACTGTTGAACAGTATCATTAATATCACATGCAAGCAAAATAGTGCTGAAAATCATTCAAAAATGACCAGAATATAACATAATAAGGAACTGCCAGAAATTAAAGTAGGATTTAGAAGAGGCCTGGCATTGTATCAGTGCGGATGTTGGATGGATCCTGGCTTAAAGACAAGAATACCAGAAGAATGTCTATTTGTGCTTCATTGACTTAGATAAAGGCATTATGGCTGACATTGAGAAGAATGGGAGTCCCTGAGCATGTACTTGCGCTCCTGTGAAACCTGGACCTGGACCAAGAAAGAGGCTGTTGTGCAAACAGAGCAGGAGAATACTGTGTGGTTTAAAATTAAGAAGGGAGTGTCAGGGTTGTATTCTCTCTCCATACCTATTTAATCTGGTGAGCAAATTATTAGAGAAGCTGGACTCTGAAGAGGAATGTGGTGTCAGGATCAGGAGGAGACGCAACAATAACCTGTGTTATGCAGGTGACACAACCTTGCTTGCTGAAAGTGAGGAGGAAATGTAGCACTTGCTGCCGAAAATCAAGAAATGCCAGCCTCAGCCTCGGCAGGGATTGCATCTCATTGTCAGGAAAACAAAGATTCTCACCACTGAACCTATAAGCAACATCTTGATGGATGGAGAAGCGATTGCCAACAATTACATCTTACTTGGATCCACAATTAACACCCTTTGTACCAGCAGTCAGGAAGTAAGGAAACACATTGCACTGGGAAAATTTGCAAATGATCTCTAAATTATTGAGAGGTTATGATGTCATTTTGAGGACTAAGGTGCATCTGATTCAGGCCATGGCCTATCTGATCACATGCTATGCATCTGAGATCTCAACAGTGAATAAGGTTGACAGAAAAAGAATTGATGCCTTTGAGTTGTGTTGGAGAGAGCATGGAACATCCCATGGATGGCCAAAAGAACAGACAGTTATGTCATGGAAAGGGTGAAGCGAGAGTGCTCTTTGAAGGCAAAAATGAGGCAGCTTCCCCTCACATACTTTGGGCATGTTGCTGGGAAGGGCTATTCCTTGGAGAGGGACATGATCCTGGGAAGGGTGGAGGGTCAGTGAAGGAACAAAAGATCTTCAACCAGGTAAATTGACACGGTGACAGCCTCAGTGGGCTCTAGTGTGTCAGGAAGTGTGAGGATGGGACAGGGTAGAACAGGGTTCAGATCTTTTGTTCATAGGGTCTCTATGAGTCGTACTTGATTCAGTGGCACCAGCAGCCACTTACAGTGTATCTGGTAAGTCTGTCTTCTCCTGATCAAGATTCAACTATTGGATTCTTGGTCACAACATTTGGTAATTGTAGCTGGACACCATCCACATTTTTTCTCATGACAAGAGGTAAGTAGTTGATGAAAGCAGTTGGACCAACTGTCCATTTCTCCGAATCCTTGAGGTTCCTCCCAATTCCAGCGCAGAGACACTGATTCTGTTTTGAGTGACTGTTGGCAAACTGAACTAAATAGTATGGCAGAAATTGTAAAAACCCAAAATCCCCATAAAACAGTATTAAACCTGTTTATTGACTTGAGCCCATGGAAATCAGTGCAGTATCTTTACATAGTCTTTCAGGAATGTGTATATGACATCACAATAGCAAATGTCTGTTCAGAGACTTCACATAGTTTTTCCATTCTGATCCTCCTGACTTTCGGCTGGTTTCTCCAAGACTAGATCCCTCGGAGTCCTTTTCAGAGAGAAAACTTGGTTCTTGCAGAGAATATGAGTAGAGAGACAGGCAGATAAACATGCATGCATACGTACACGATAGGGATTGGGGATGGAGTGTCTTTTTTAAAAAATGCAGCCTTTTAAACCTTTTCCATCCCCACCTATATCCCTGCTTTTGGTTTACCTAATTCCTGAGTTTTGGTGAGATTTCTTGGACGAAAATCCTTGGGGTTTTGTTCATTCTGTCAGCCCCCCCCCCCCCCAATACAGTTCTTAGCTCCTTTTGGCTTTTCTCGTCCTCCCTTTGTGAATTTGTTCTATCTTATCCTTGCTGCTATTTTGGAGGGATTGTTTGAGAGAGTTGGAAACGGGGGTATACTTAGTTTAGTATTTTCAACTGACAAAATTTTATTCTAAAATAAATCACTTGCAGAAGGAGCCTAAAAAGTAATATATACATGTAACTTCCAGATTTAATAGGTGCTAACAGTTTATCCTTTTTGTGATAGAAATAAAAGTTGATACATACAGTTAAAAGCTTTTCTCTCCCCCAGGAGGTATTTGTCTTCCTACTGGTTCATTACACAATTGTTTGTACTCTTAAGTGTAGATCCTTTAGGAGCAGCATACTAGTGTTACATGTGACATGTTAACAAATGATACTCTGCCCTCTTACAGCTTACATTTTTCATTTATCATTTTGATACGTAGAGATGCCAGTTACAGAATGACTCATGTACCTTTTGCACCCATGAGGTGACTGAATCAGAAGTAACTAATAAACATCACTTATTAATGGACAGTCAGTTTTATTTCCTGTCCAAGTTCCTTACCATTCCACTAGGTATCTCACATAGCCACTCTTCTAACAGCCCATTTGTTTGTGGTTTTGTTTTTTTTTTTTCAAAGCAGCAGTAGAGTTGCCTAATTGTGACACTTTTAAGGCCCACAAAGCCCAAAATATTTACTGTTTAGTACTTTACGAAAAACACATTAGTAATACTTGATGAGGTTTGTCTTGGATTTAACTTAAAATCCTTTCAGTGTTATTGATTGCCACCAAGTTGAGCACAACTCATAGCAACCCTATGAACAAAAGGCTTGAAGCTGTCGTTTCTCAAAGTTCATAGTTTCCAGAGGCATGCTGTTTAGGAAGTAGATGCCTCTCCTGCTTTCAATTCATAGTATTAGCATATTATTATGTATGAAATATCAGTGTGTGAATTGGGTCCATTTAGGGAATAGAAGAGGATATTAAGCTCAGGGGCTTAGGGGCAAGGAGCTGCACTGCAAGGCTGACGGCACATGGTTGGAATCCACCAGCTGCTCAGAGAAAGATGAGCGGTTTCTGCTCATGTGACTTACAGCCTCTGAAACCCCGCTGGAGAGTCAGCTCATGGGATGGCTCTGACCCAACAGCACATAACATTTAGTATCTTGAATGACATAAATGTTGGAGACTTGAAAGGGCAAAAGGAGAGAACCCTGAGGAAATCCAGGAAGCAGCTCATGTTGTTGGGGAAACGGGAAAAAGCTTTAGACTGACAGAAGCTTACAGGTTGAAAGTAGTGCCTGTGACAGAGCTGGGACTTAGAGCCAACAGAGGGAAGGTTGTCTGGGTGGGTAACGCTGGTGCGAGGAGGACGACTTGAGATTGGTGTTCAGAGTGCTAAAAGAATCAGGCTGCTAGAAAGCCAGTGCTGCTCCTAGGGGATGCTTTCAGATCCAGCAAGACAAAGTCCTTGATCTCAACTCCTCCATTCCCGTGTCCTGGTGGAAGAGCTTATGTGGAAACGAGCTGGGGGGGGGGGAGGGGAGGAATTCTGCTAGTTTCCTAGTCCTGACACCAGAGTATGGAACAGAAGGATGGATTTGAAGCTGTGCTGAGAGATGGCGAGAATAACAGGGCTCTTCCACCCACTTCCCTCAAAAATGACAGCTGTTCAGAGTCTGCTCATAAGCTCAGATTGGTCATTGATTATATAATTGTTCTTGGGTGTAAGTGAAAATGAAAGAAAAATTTTCTGAAATACTTGTATTTGTAAATCTTGGCTTTATTTTGAAGAATGACTTTAATAGTTAGTAATTCTAGCTTAGTATTCATATTTAAAAAAATTCTTTCTACTTTCTTTCAGTATCAGATATAGAAGGTGGTGATGGACTGCAGCTAAGAAAGGAACATACTCTCAAAATATTTGCTTATATCAATTCCTGGACACAAAGGTATGCATCTTCAAATATTTCAAAGACTAAGTTCTGTTTTACATTGCCATTAATTAAGGAAAAAAAAATAGATATTAACATGTTCCTTGACACTTACAGTGTTTTTTTTATAGTATAATTTTAATACATGAGGATACTAATTTCTGTCTTCGACTCTTTTCTCATGTAGAAATAGAAGAATGATTGAAAGTCTGAGAATAATGATTTTGATTAAGGAATAAATGTTTCTGGTATAGCCAGATGCTTGTAACAGACTTAATGTAAAGATGTGAGGATGCCTGACTGTTGTGGGAGGCACTCGCTGTATGGTCCTTTCCATATTTATCTGCATTAGACTGATTTTTTTTTCTTCTTTAAGAGAATAGAGAGTAAAACTTAAGGAAAAAAAGTTAATACAATTTTTTTAATAAGTGGCAGATACCTGTTTTCAGTGTGATTCTGGTTGTTCATGATTGATAACTATTTTCACTGTTCTGCTTAACTATGTAAGACTTAGATTGTTTGAGAATGTTGGGAAACACCATGAACACTGATAAATGCATATTAAATGCAGGGATACATAAACTAATGTTCTAAGGCATAAAGTATAACTGATCATAGTTTTATCAGAATTGCTTAATTTCAATTTGCTTATGATAGTCCACAGGTTATGAACTGTCCATCTTAAGGACAATTCTTACCTATTAATGCCAGATATTACCCTCTTTTGCTATGTTGTTGTTGTTGTTATGTGCCGTCGAGTCGCTTGCAACTCATAGCGACCCTATGTACAACAGCCCGTAACTCCGCTCTGTCCTGTGCCAGTCGCACTGTCTCTGACACTCCCATCCCAATTATCCCAATCACTGAATCAATCCACCTCATAGAGGGCCCTCCTCTCCTGCACTGTCCCTCCACCCTCCCAAGCATGATGTCCCTCTCCAAGGATTGGTCTCTCCTCACAACATGTCCAAAGTATGTTAGATGGAGCCTCAGAATCCTTGCCTCCAAGGAGCCACCCGGTTTAACCCTTTTCAGGACAAATCTGTTTGCTTTCCTAGCAGTCCATGGTATTCTCAATACTCCTCTCCAGCACCACAGCTCAAAGGCATCAGTTCTCCTTCTATCCTCCTTGGTCATTGTCCAACT